ATATTTATGAGAGGTTTAATAAAATGCAATTTTTATTACAGACACCCCCGTATTGTGCGTCACCTAGAATTGCAAAGTATTAAATCAAATTATCAAAAAAAAATTGAAAGTGAGTTTAATGAATTCAGTTCATTTGCCGTCAGTTGGATTAGTTTGATGTTTCAAAAAACGAAGAATTCATGAATATTAAATATTTTCGGTACAATTATCAAGTATGCGAATAATAACTTATGAATCTTCCATAAATTATAATTAATGTCAGCATTTAGTCTATTTGTGCAATGAAATATATAAATATACCAGATGTCCGATATAAAATGGCGACCAAAGCATATATATACATGTGCATTGTATCAAAATCGTATAAGATATTGAGATCTGCATTTGTCGGACTTGTTATTGTGAAAATTAGGTGCGTAATAAGTTTATTTATTATTTATTATGTATGATTTCTCAGGAAATGATTTACATTATACATTGTTTGCCTTGGTATTCGATACATCAAGGAGACAAAGAATACATTTACATAAACTTGATCGCTCTAGATAAGTTATTGGATGAGTATTGATATATTCAGATAAAATATGTAAGCCATTGTTTGCTTAGTTCCCCTAATGATAACCAAAATGTTACGATATAACAATGAACAATAGGGGGGAAACTTCCGTGGTTAAAATATCCTTTGTGGCATTTCCTTAAAATATTTTTGTTAGCATTTTTTCCACGAGTTAAATAACTTGATTCATAAAACACCTTGTTTTATTGCACTTCCCTCCTATGTTGGTTTTTGTCGTTTATTTCTATTTATACAATCACAAGAAACGATTTGACGGAAATCATACTACAGGTAGGAATATCAAGTTACTTTTCAAGACCTTGAATGATGATGTACTAAACAACATCAATATCTGATTTAATTCTGTTTCATTATTTGACAGCAATCATATAACAGGTAGGAATCTACGGAGCCCTGTTGGTCTCATACAGATAAAGGGTTGTGGTTTTTCAAAGTCAAGATGGAGATGTAAAGTCTAGCGCGGTAGGTCTAAAGTTCAGCGCTGGAAATCTCAAGTCCAGCGCTGTACATGTACATTTAGTTAAAGTCAAGCGATGGAGATCTAACTTTCAGCTCTGTAGATCTAAAGTCAAGCGCTGGAGATTAAGTACATAACGTCCAGCACTGTAGATGAAAAGTCTTGCCCTGCAAATTTAAAGTTTAGCGATGTAGATATATAAACAGCCTAGCGCTGGAGATGTAAAGTAGAACGCTGTAGATGTAAAGTCTACATCTCTAGTGCTGGAGATGTAAAGTCCAGCGCTGTAGATCTTAAGTCAAGCGCTGGAGATTTATATCTACCGCACTGGACTCTCCATCTATAGCGGTGTACTTTACATATTTTAATTTAGTGGCATTATAATATGATTTCTCTTATAATCGAATCTGAGGATAATGTACTTGACAGCATCAATATTCAATTTCTCTGTCTCATTTTCCCTACGTCTGTAGTGTTTTCCTCGTATCATTAGAAAACCCAAGGTCATTGCTTTTTTACCACATAAGGATGTTGACTTAATCCTCGACGTCTTAATGCTTGACTCTTCGACATAAATAAACATGTGCGTGTTTATTTTCAATCAGAATTTTGTTCAATGTATTCCAACAGCTAAATTGTATCTTAATAAGTAGGATAATTATATCCCGAACAGAAGATATCCTACAAACGCAATGAGTTTTTATTTAATTTTCGATCTAAGATTACTATACTATATTAAAACTCATTCGTGGGTGCCTTAAAAGACAGACATGATTTCACGTTTCAAATATAATGCATTCTATACAACAAAATAATCAGAAAGATTATTACATGCTTGTTTATTATTTGATTTCATTGCTTTGTTGTTGTTCTCACGTGTCCTGCTTTTTCTTTTTTGTTTGTTACAATTTCGTTGTGATCAAAGTGTCCCTTTATTAAGCGGCATAGGCGAAGCGATGGCTGCCGAACGAATGTCGAACTCATTTTCCAGCACCTGAGTTCAATCCCTGTTCTGGTGGGACTTGTGTTTCTCTAGTTTTCTGTGTGTTGTTTTGTGGGCTCTTGTAATTCTTTTCATTTTTTTTCATTTGGCCATATTGTTTATCTAGCTGTCTTTCATCGTTTTTATCTTCTTTTCTCTTTTAACTTTGGTAAAAGTAAAAGATAAAAAAGTTTCCCTTACACAGTAAATTTAAAATAAGAAAAATGGTATATATGACAAATAAAGGCTCATATAAATTCATGAAAAATATCTATTCCGCAACTTCCATATCGAGGTTGAATAGACTGTTGCCTCACATTATACAACAGCATGATTAGATAAAAGAACTGTTTAAATTATCTTCTGTCCTGTAAAAGGAAAAACCATAAGCATCTATACATTTAAAACAAGAACAACAATTGTTCATTCAGTAAAACTAGAGACTACAAAGGAATCATTGTTAGCGCTTCTTTTCTATCATATTTTTAAAAGAAGTTTAAAATTTAATTATTTTAATACAGTTCATGCGTATTATTGATTATCTATATATATATATATATTATATAAAACGACATGACTCAAATTTAGATGTTAATTAAAAATTCACAGAGAATAACAAATAGACATTGTATTTAATGCCTTGATTTATATTGATCAAATTACTTGTTCGGGATAGTGAACAAATTTCACCTTTTGTATCAAAGTGTTCTCAGTTAAATAGTTTATTGTTTGAGATTACTTCTTTGCCACAGTTCCGGGATCACTGACAATAATTCCATTGTTCTTGGAAGGTTATCATTTACTCTGTACATAACCCGGAGTCGTTAATAAGAGAAACTATCAGAAGATCATAGTTTCATTAATTCATTTTGAAATAGGGACTTCAAATACGTAGGCTGTATTTTTTATTTCGGAAGAAGAACCGACAGTCTTGTGTAAGTTTGAAAAATGTTTTTTTTTAATTCCTGATCAATGTGACATCCTGTTGGACAATGAGTATATTACGGATGCATCATTTCCCTAATCCTGTCGTTTAACCTTTTATCTTGACTAAGGTGCGATTCAGACGCAAGAGATTTTTAGTGTCGTTTCCATTTTGTTTACCCTTGTATTTATATTTCACTTAGTTTGTACTTTTTCGAAAAAGTGTATACAATATATGGTATGTACTATCAACTAAAAAAAAATTATCGGCATCTTAGCAAATTAACTATCAACGTCAAACACTTTTTTGTAGGTGTCTTTGTCAATTTGCTTTCAACTACAACGCCTTTTTTCTTGGCGTCTTTGTTAGATTTGTTGTATGTTTGTTTCAATTGTTTAGTCAGTTGTGTTGTATGTCTGTGATGTATGTTTACACCGTTTTGGCTGCTGAATCCAAATTGTTGTCACATTAACCTTTTATGTCTGTTTGGTTTGCTCACCCAATTCTGTCAATATAACGGAACTATAAATAAATGTCATACAAGCAGGAGGTTTAGCTAGCTATAAAACCAGGTTTAACCCACCATTTTCTTCGGAAAATGCCTGTACCGAGTCAGGAACTTAACAGTTGTTTTCACTCGTTCCGTTGGTTGATAACGTTTGATTTTGTCAGTTTTTATGGACTCTCCCTTTTTAAATTAACCTTGGAGTTCGGTATTTTTGTTATTATTATTTTTTTTATATGTGATATTCTTGTGAAACACTTAAATGATGGTTACACAAAAGCTACAATTTCTGTCATAATGTAGAACACATTGAAAGTCAGTGGTCTTTCTGTAAGGTAAATAACCTAAGAGTTGTATATTTTGATCAGATCGTGGATTTGTTGCAATGTCACGAGAAAATAATTTATCAAAAAACAAATACAACAAATGTTATAAAGGGTTAAATATCATGAATAGACCGCTTTACAAATAACTTCATGTTATATTGATCATTCAAACACACCGAATCTCAATCAAGACACTGTCCGGAAAATAAAAGCTTAAAGTTTAATAGACTATTTGCCAATCCGTAACTGACATTGTTATCAGAGATCCATTTGTACGAGTTGTTTCCCATAGAAGGGACATGAAGGTTCATTTAATAGTAAGAGGTAATGGAAAGAGAACATTTATCTGTGCGTAATGTTTGTAATTTTTTTTTCAAATCTTTTAATTACATTGAATCTTTTGTTAAGCTAACATTTTTTGATATCAATAGTTCTTTCAATAACTTACTTACTTACTTAATACTCTTCTTGTTCTTGAACATATAAGGCATCAACAATTTTTCAATAACAACTGGTTCAAATGTCAATATATCATTTTCATCTGATTATGCTTTGCATGGACAACATCATATTTTGTCTGGTTTGGAACCAGTCTACAACTGGCAAAAAGAAACAGCTTGTGTTAAAAGTGTGTAATAATAGATCGGTAAATGGCAAATAGACTATAATCGTAGAAGTGTTCCAACGACTTAGGTTTCGGTCTTAATATTCCGTATAACATGGAGCAGTTTGTTGTCACATATACCTGGAATTGTTTACCTATTGCAGGGTTATGCATTGCGTAGATATGTTGTTAAATCATGTTGTAAGCCTGAAAATCGCTTGAATTTTTTATGTGACTATTATATAGGCCACTGATTGTTTATGCATAAAAGGCATATACGTCAATGAGACAGCACCCCAACCACACAACTGATGAAAACAAACATCTAGATATTATCATACGGCCTTCATCAATACTCTCTCAAATACTGATAGTATGTCATGGGAATCTGATTTCAAATGAAAGTTATATAACTTACATTAGCAAATGATTAAGTCTTTTTATATTTTTTTTTTTTCACAAGAAACATAAATTGAAAGTTGTCATTAAGACTTGGTCCATATTTCTAATTCAACTGACTTTGTATGTTACGTAACAATTAGGATACAATGTCCATAAATAGAATAATTAGTAATTATACCGCATATAATTTATAAGCTTGCGACATTTCCTCATTCATTTCGTCTAACCATATATGAACCGTTCTAGATTACTGCTGTACTGGAGTAGAAAGCAAAACATATACAAACATTATACAATATTTATAGTTTATATAATTCTATGTTTTTAATCAGGGACTGTATCATTGAGTTTGTAAACAACAATTTTGGACATTTAATGAGTCTGAGTTGTCATGTTTTGTTTTATTTTAAGAAAATAAATCCAAGATATTATTAACTGTTTATGTACAAGATATATTGTCAATTTCACCGTTTATGAACTTTGGACACATAACAAGAGAAAAGTACAACGGTGACGGATCGTTTCTTGTATATTATGGTATTTTCTAACATGACAAATTGAAACTATCTGTTGTACCGGACGTAGCTTACAAGCAGAAAAAAAATCATCTACCGCACACTTGATAATGGACAAGGCTTTAGTGTTTTAAAGTTAAAACCGTTAACATTTGAAGTTTCTTTTAACGAATAGTCATGAAATTTGGTCACAAACGAAAATAAGACCAAGTCAAGTAAGTACTTTGTTTACATTTTTACTTACTATTTGGAAAACTGTGTATACTGATAAAGTTGATTAATTGAAGTTAAAATGTATTTTTTTTTTTTTTTTTTTTATTTTATATTTTTTTCGATCCAAGATATGCTTCTTTCAAACAGACTTCAATTTTGATATTGCATTTTGTTATTGATGATCTGTGATATGAATTCAATTTTACATCCCACGTCTTTCGTTAACAATTATCGTAAATCTATCTAATATAGGAATTACTTTTTCCATAATTACTGTGAAAAGTGTAACTACATGTTGAAGCTGTAATATTTTTTGACGCGATGTGTGTAGACAATCATGCAATGAACATTATAGTATATAACTTTATTTTGTTGTAACAATTAGAATTTTTAAAGCAAAAAATTAGCATAGACTGAGTTTTCCGTTTTGTTTTTTTTTTTTTCATTTGTGTGTCATGCTTGTACTATGTGGTATGCGTTTTGCGCATTGTTGGGGGCCGTACGGTGACCTATAGTTGTTAACTTCAACGTCAGTTGGTCTCTGTAGGAGGATTGTCTCATTAGCAATCATACCACATCTTCTTATTTTTATATTGTGTGTTGAATTTTGTGTTGAAAGCTTATATCACCCAGAGGCATCTGGTACCTTTCTGCGTTTTCTTGCATGCAACTTTTGTATGGCATAAACTTCAACATGTTACCCTTGTCACACAGCAAATGTACAGTATGTTAAAAAGAAAATACTTGAAAACGAATACAAAAAAAAAATAATTTGTAGTAAGGCAAATAATAATTATGGGAAAGACCTTCAATTCTGTCTTTGATCGTGTAATGCATTTCATAAAAAAAGGTATCATAAAAATAATATATTTCACATGTGTATTTCAATAAATGCCATCGTTAACTCATTATCATTTACTCAAATTCATTTTTTATTCATTGATTTCTTTATTAATTTTATTTATTCCCACTGTAAATTACAACACAGAAACTAGTCATGTAGACCAAAGGGATTGAATATATTCAATAATAAACATACGTTTTCATTTTTTTCATTAATTCGGAATTTATGTTGCAGTCAAAATTAAACTAAGAGGAATTGAATAAACATGTAGCTGTCTTGACTTACTGAGCAAACTTTTGTCACCCAACGAGGGGCGCAGCGAGGATTTGGAAATGCTGATGTCCGTCCGTTCGACATATCGAGTTCGAAAATCAGTATCGATCCCTCTTTGGTGAGTTTTCCCATTTGGATATGTACATTATATGGGTACTAGTAGGCATTGTAAGCGCTCTCACGCCGAAATTTCTCTACTAGATTAAAATAAATGTATTTTAAAGGTTAACATAAGTAATTGCGTTTGAAAATCGGCGCCGACTGATTTTTGTCGAGCCTGCGAAATTTATTTTGCGAAAGCGAGACATAGCGATCCTCAATTCCGTCATCGGCGTCGGCGTCGACAACGTCAACATTTAGGTGCAGTCTGTGGTTAAAGTTTTTTTTAGACATCAATAACTTTGTCAAACATACATGGAATTTTATGAAATTTGGACAGCAGCTTGTTTTTGACCAAAATATAGTATCCAGAGCAAAATTTTGAAAGTATTTATTTTCATATTTTCCAAATTTCACTAAAAAAAGGACTTAGTTTTTTTTACAGTTAACTTTCAGATTTAGTCTGAGGTCAGTTTTCCAGTCATCAATAACTTTGTCAAATCTTCATGGAATTTTATGAAATTTGGACAGAAGCTTTTTTATGACCAAAACACATTATTCTAAACAAAATTTTTAAAATATTTATTTTCATTTTTCCGTATTTCACTGATAAATGGACTTAGTTTTTATAACAGTTAACAAGTAGATACAGTCTGAAGTTAAAGTTTGTTACACATCAATAACTTTTTCAAACCTTCATACATGTAGAATTTTCTGAAACTTTTTAAGTCAACATTACACTTTTACACTGACAGCAGTAATCGCATGCAGGCGAAACACAGGTTTCCGGTGAACCCCTTACGAATTTGTTAATAAAGTTATGGCCCTTACGAATTAAAATTTTTTTTAGAAACTTACATTGCAATCGCTCTTTCGCCAACAGTTCATCATCAGAGTACAATTCAATTCGTGTCAATGTAGGCATAAACAATATCTTGGATGAGTTCGAAAATCAGCGTTAATCCTATATGTAAGAGTTATGTTCCTTAGAATTGTAAATAATATTCATACACGAAAACGCTACTGTTGTCACGCACTCATTTTTCATCGGATTTTTATGGAAATCGTCGATTGAATTTGTTTGTGGAGTCATGTCCTTGAAGATGTAAATAAAATAAGTGACTCAGAGAAACAAATGCTATATTCCTGACTTTGTACAGGCATTTTCCAAAGAAAAGGATGGGAAAGCGCTTCCCCGCATACATTTTTAATTGGAGTTTTATGGAATTCACGTCAACGGTTTACATAAGCTAGATCTATAAGAAATTTGAAAATAGAAAAATAAAACCGATCGCTTTATATTTAGGTAATGCTCTTATGAAATGCGAACTTCCTGTATATCGGCCGGTGGTATTTGCATTATTCTGTTGCAATCTTTTTACATGTGTATTATTGAATGGAACATGAGAAACGACGCATAAAGGGTTGTTTTTGTAAAGATGCGTCACTGATATTTATGGACTAAAGTTAACCATTGTTTAGAAAGTTTCATTATTTAAACAAAAGCAAAGTCATAAATACGTTGTACTGTTACACGCAGATCTTTCCGAGTAATGTGGCTACATACATAAGTCCAAATTCATGCATAAAAATATTGAATATCGGACAAGACAGTATCACGAGGGTTCCATGTTATTAATAATGCCTCCTGTTTAGAACAATAACATCTCCTGTTTTGCAGATGGCTAAGTTATATTACTCAAATTTGAAATATATAAATTCTTTGATTTGTGCGGATCACAATTCCTCCCGTTCTGCATTTAAATCCCTAATATAATTTACAGTATGTGAATGATTGTTTGTTTAACCATAATGATAGAAAGCATATAAAACAGGTCGTGTCAGTTTCCCCTTACTTTACTTCCTACAAGGACCAATTTAGAAAAGTCCATAAATCTTTCCTTAATTTCACAGTATCACAGCTTCATGTGTGTACATCAACTTCTGTCAACATAAAATTATGGCGTATTTTTATTTTTATGTTATTAATAAATGTGAAATGGTTGAACAGTCTTGCAAGTATATTTTTTTGTTTTTTCAGGGTTCGAATTTTAATAGTTTTCGGGTTTTGAATATGTGAGTGATACCGAGGAAAATTGGTGCTAACTCTTTTAATAATTTTATTTTGGACTTAGTCTACTGGTTTTTATAGCTCTATATTCGGTATAAGTTTTGTTCATTGTTTAAGGCCGTACGGTGACCCACATTTGTTAATTTCTACGTCATTTGGTCTAGTAGAGAGTTGTCTCATTGCCAATCATACCACATCTTCCTCATTTTCATATACACAGTATTTCTGTTCAGGACAATAAAGGATGGAAAAGTGAAAATGCTATACTTCATATAATTTTTACACAGAAATAGCTGTCAAAATTTACGCTTTACCTATCTAAATAATGCGTTATCATGTAAATATACCATGTATGTAATACTTATAATTAATGAGCACAGGAAGGAATTTATCATATTAGTTCATATGGTCATACATATAACACAAATTTTGAAGTAATGAATTACTGAAAGACTTGAAAGATGCTTTATGTTTCAGAAATGAGATGACTAGTTGAATATTTTTCAATGAATGTCTTTCAATGTGAAATTTTCTAAATTTTGGTTTTTCATTTACTCTACAAGTTTGAATTTTGTGAACAATACATTTTTACCCGAAATCCCAAACTCCCAATTTAGTAAAATTTCATAATAGAAATTTGTTTGAACTTTCTTAAATTCAAGTAAAACAGTTTTATAAATCTTAGATAATGGTTCATATTTATAGATTCCTACTGTAAAAATACTTACGATTTGGTCGATGTATTCATTTAATAAATATTTTCCACGTGTACAGTATCTTTTGACCACTCGAAAAACGAAACTTGAACCCCATTTGCCTGACTATTGCGAAGCAAAATCTTAACCTACCAAAAAGGGTAAAAAATGAAAAATATGTGCGAGTTTGTCATAATATGAAAAAGTATTCAAATAGGTGAACCACTACAGCGGCAGTTGTTTAGCAATACTGAATATATAATTTAACTCACGCGATTTTTTTAGGTAACGACCATGTAGGGTTGAAAATCAGGAGGAAGCCTCAATTTTGCCTATAGTCAGAGCAGTAATTTTCAAAAAGAATAAATCACAAAATATTTCTGTTTAGGTTAGTCAGAATGAATTGTTCCTACAGGTTCTATTGGTATTTAGGCCTAAATATAGTTTTTGGTACAATATGTATCAGCCTCCGGTACTCTACATGATTCCCTATCCTCTGTTTCTGCCCCTCTCCCACCCCCCCCCCATTCCATCCTTTAGAAGATTTCAGTCTAATTCAACGAGAAAAGGTGTTGAAAAGATATATTATGTGTTTACTTCGAAATCATACGTATTTTTTTCTTAGTCAGTGCGGTTGAATTTAAATTTTCACGAACAATCAGATTCCATAGCTACAGATTCAAATTGGCTGTTAGTTGTATAATCTTAAAAGGGCATTGATACAGGAATGTTTTTAATGTACATAATTTATTTCCTTATATGCACATTGATGGTTTAAACGTTCCCTTAATAATAAACGTCAGTTTGTCAGATGACCATCGGACGACATTTTGCACTAATGAACATATTTTTTCACCATGTAAACATATCCGTGTTGTAATAATGACCTATATGTGTGTGTTCCTTTACAAGCGACTACTTTAAACAAAGATATGATATTACAAATACTCTACGCATCTATATAAATCAACTTTCAAAGCAAAAGCAAAGTCATTGAAAGAAGTAGTAAATACATGATTGTGGTTGATTGATAACGAGGTTAGAGTTTAAAATCTAATCATCCAACTTAAAATATTAGATTCAGAAACACTATTTGTCAAAGATTTTAATTATGCCAGAGGAAAATATTTTGTCCTTAACATCATAGCCGTAAATTGAACAATCATACCAAATCAAAAATATTACCCCTGTCAATAAGGTGGTGAGGCATCGCAGATTCCTTAGATTTTCAATTCACCATCTTTGTTTTCTCTTTATAAAGTTATAAACTTTGATTTTTGTCAATGTGTCATAGTTTGAACCATATTATTAATGTCAAATGTGAGTTATTTATCAATATTTTAAAAGTCTTTTTTACTTTACAAACAATTTGATAGTACTGTAACTTTGAAATCCTCGTAATTCGCTTAGCTTCAACGGGGTCGAAATGTAAATAGTATGATCTTCGTTAAAGAGAATACTTAAATAGAAAACTTAAAGTATAATGCATGATAATACATGTACACTACTGGTATTACATTTGCTAAATTGGTTTCATTGTTTTAAATTATTGGCAGCTTAGTTCATTTACATAATTTTTATAAGTGAAACATAAAAAGCGTTTGCACACGGTTGTCAAATAAGCTCTGTACATGCAAATAATTTAACATAATGAAAGCGTTAGTACAAAGTTGTCTGTACATGCAAATAATTTAACATAACGAAAGCGTTAGTACAAGGTTGCACACTAAGCTTTGTAATATACGAGGTAAATTACTGTCTTCATCAACGATGGTAAATTCTAAGAAATACTTTAATGATATTGTATATCTATAATTATTATAATGCAAATTGTAAACAATGATTGATAAATTATGACAAGTTAGCTTTATTTTTTGCACCGAAAATGAATTACTTGTACACGTGATGAATATATCAATTTCTGATGAAATCAGTGTAATCCAAGTCATTTAAAAAATAAACTATTCCACCACAGACCAGGCTAATTGTATGTATTTTTTTCTAATGTGTTGCAGCCAGTAAGTTCATTATATTTGGGTTATCTCTATAAAGACGCGGAAAACAAATTTTAAAACGAACTTAACATTTTGTTCAACTTGTAGCTTTGTCTAACTTGAAACCATTGAATTATATGCGGCATACTACGTGCATGTTTATGGAAAACGTGTGGTGAATTCTTATTTCATTTGCAAATTATTAAAGGTGGTATATATTTAAAAGCACACAAACGAGAAAAAAAATTGAATATCGGGGTAATCTAAGTTGACCCTTTGGAGATAAATATATTTTGTGGATAGATAACGAACAGAAACTAGTTCAAATATTCCAGTGTATTCTCCCTCTTAGAGTATGCAGGTTTCCAGGTTCCAATTTATGTATCCCGAAGTTCGCTCAGTGTTATAATACTTTTTTTAGAGATAGTTGTTTAAAACATTTTCCCTAAACTTAAAAAAGAATTTGTTCGGATAGACTGGGAGAATGTTAGATTGAGAGTTGTACCTAAATTAGCGAGAATATATAAAATAATCAACATTTAGACAAAAATGAGCCTGTCTTGAATGACATAATGTTTTTGATTGCCCGCATGGTAACTTATCCCCCCTTTTGTTTACATAAATATCGTAGATTTAAGACTTAAATTAATTTGACATACTATTTTCTTCTTTTCTTTTATTTTTCGTAGATTTAAACCGTAATTTGACATACAAATTTTAGTTTTGAAGTAAAAAGAGCCAAAATAACTCATGGTAAGACTCAGTCACGCGGCAGTCTTTTATTACAACAATGTACATGCTTTGGGTCAAATTGTTGATTTCCTTAAAAAATATGTCAATGTTAAAAAAAAATCCATAAGATTAGATAAGCCATTTTATCTGTTAATGTGACAAACACAATCTCGTTTGTATGTCTTCCAATGAATTTCATTTCTGTTGTACAATATTCCCACGGTAAACAATTTCTCGTGTAAAATAACGATATGGAAAAATTCTACTTTTTTCGTGGGAAATACGTTGAAAGACTTCCATTTGAAGCTCTCTTATTAACGTGATAAGCATATCCATACATGAAGGGAGAGTTCAAAGGAAAGTCTTGCTCTCAATTACGCTGGCACATCGGATATTAGCGGAAATAATAATTTTCAATCACCACATAGTTTGGCTAACTAAAGGCCTGTTACATATCTCTTGTTACATTCTTTATTATTTGACTCAGATAAACTTAGCAATCACTGACACGATCAATTATAACGGCACAAGTGTCTTATTGTTTTAAACTCAAAATGTCAATTTTAAAATTGATTTGTGCTGCATATAATAAAGAGGTTACATTTATCAATATCAAATATATATATATTGACACATATTTATGCAAATTGCAACTCTTTTATAGATAAATATAGAACTTTATGTGCGGTTTGTCTACATTTTTGATTTACGATGTTTTCATTGCTTCATTAATATATACTGACACAGTTTGACAACATAATTTGTAACCTTCAATTCCAATGATCGAGAGTTGATATGTTCATAATGCATGACCGTCAAATCATCTGTTGTCACATAACTTGAGTTTATTGGTCGAATCCTGAATTGAATACCTTAACCAAAATTCCAAACTCTCCCTCAGGCATAGTTGACCTTAGCTGATAATGTGTATCATTTTAAGGTCACTTTTGGTAATTTAGCTCATAACGTTTCTACATATTAAGCATGATATCTGGCTTTCAAGTGATTGTGTTTTAGCGTTCCTGATGAAGGCAGATCCAAGAATAGCGCTTCAAACTCGCGAAACTTGGTGTTATTTTTGTATTTAAAATGTTTCCGTGTGGTAATTGGAAGTCCCTCATCCAATGTTGTACTAATTCATATTACTATTCTAATCTGATTCTTGTCACATGCGTTCGATACACAACGTTTAAATAAAAGGTTTGATAGTATTTTACGTGATGTCTTTGTTATTACAATATCAAAAATATTAATGATGCCACACAAAAACATCATTTGTTTAACAGCCTAGTTTATAATTGAGGAAAGTTAAAGTTCAGTTTCATATATATTTTCCTACATTAGTAGTTAGTAGTGGAGCACTACCCTAGGGTATCGTGTTGAAGACTATATGTTCACCTGTTAAACATGAAAATAAAAATAAAAAAATACCCACATCCATTCAAAATGAGAAATGTTATATGTTAAAACTTGAGTTGTTTTAAAGAGTAATCATACTTAAAAGTTCAAAACTGTGCATTATGTTACAAAGTTTTGCATGTGTCACACAGATACAAAGTTTGTATTATTTATAGGTATATATATACTAATATCAAGAAACCATTTTGTATATTTGTGATTTCAGTGAATTTATTTAATTTATTCTACCTGATGTATTTTCTTAGTCATATAGAGCTGATAACATTTTCTAAACGCTAGAACATGCTATATAGAACCTTGCATATATGATAAACAGCTCGAAACAGTTTCTATAATAAGTATAAATATTAAGAATGCTATTAATGTACAGTACATTTAGATGTATTTAAAAGAACTTAGGAAACTACACGATAAGTTATTGTCATGTGATCACATAGGTATAACTTACACATCCATTATTTGTCTAAATATAGACTTTTATCAGACGAAAATAATTTGTTATTTTCTAAATTTAGAGATAAGATAGACTCATATGGTAAGTAAATACCACAAAATGTGACATGTTTTTTTTTTATTATTTCAGTGATGACGATCTTCCCGGTGATTCTGACCATTGTCTCCATCCTGATACACTCAACTTTACAGTCCCAAAATGAAGAAGGTGAGATGAAAATATTGTCTGTTCATATATATATGTTGTGTACAAGTTATCATTTTATACAAATTATAATTTGTACAAAAAAATTGTACAAATTATAATTTGTATTTTGACTTTGTACAAATTGTAATTTGTACAAAAAGTGCCTGTACAAATTACAATTTGTACAAAATTTGACAAAAATTCACTTATAACTTGTACAATATTTTATAATATGGATATATGTATAATCGGACGACAACGAATTGTTTTGTATTAAAAAGTCCTTTTTATTATCTTATACTGATTCTCAATCAGCCGAGACAACATAAGAATACCCTATAAATATTTTGGTAAAACACTACTTGCAAGTACATGTAACATCACGATTACGTTCGGGTAAAACCTATACTTACTAGTTTAATTCCGCAACATTCTATGACTATAGTATATGCGCCTGTCTTCAAGTCAGGAGCCAGTAATTAAATGAATGCCGTTAGATGTCGTCTATCATATTTGTTTTTCGTTTATTGTTTTGTACATTAATCAGGCATGTTGAATTGTTTTACATTTTGCCATGCGGGATTCGGGAACCTTTTTAAAATTTTCTAGACGGTGTGGGTTTTGCTCATTATTGAAGGTCATGAGCTGTACGAGGACTTATAGTTGATCATATTTTCGTATGATTTGGTATCTGGTGTATATTTCTCGCATTGGCAATCATGCCACATCTTCTTTTAATATTAGAAACTGGTCTGTTTAGTCATTACAACCCAAATGTGCTCATACAACAACAACAACAACAACAAAACTGCCATTTGCCTTGCAAGTTAGCAGATATGGCTACACATGTATATCATTTAACCAGATTATAAATATGATTCAAAGAACTGGACTACTACAATTTATGGTCCTGTTTTGAAATTGGCATGCTCCATGTACGTTTAAGCAACCCTTATACAGTATAAAAAGAAGAAACACAAATCACTTTGTGAGCGTTGAAAAGGAACTAGTAGCCGACATTCTAAATGTTCCTACTTCTCAAGCGTCAGTAAAATATGTTAACATATTTTGCATCCCAGTACTAATATTATTATTATTTTGCTATGTTATACTAAGGTACATAGTTCGTTTTATTTTGTCATTTGCTGAATGTGCATGGAAAACTTGCTCATTGGGATTAAGCAACTAAGAATCAATCAATCCACATTAAAAAGCCAACTTTAAAAAGATTCAAACACAACGTTATGAGGTAAACATCAAGACAGATACCGCTATTTACAATAAATAACATCAAAGCCCAGCAGGCGATCATGCTATAAACGAAAGCCTTGATCACATGATCATAGTGTGGAGGTCAGCAGCATATAAAGGTCCTACACGGACCAATAGAATGCCTGGTTGTAAATCAATTGTCAACAGCTGACAGGCCAATAATCGAATGTCAACTTTGACAGTCATAGAGAGAAAGTTAAGCTGACAATCTACATTTGTATTATAAATGATGAACTGACTTCCCTGTTTTTCTTATCGTGTTAATATTTTGTTACTACAACCACATTTTCTATTTAAATCTTTTATAGACTTGTATATTACTCACCAAAATGTCATTCAACTTTAGATTCAATAAGACACAAACATTCACGCGTACGCATTTTTTATTTTTTTGTAAGATCAAAGTTATTTTTATTCTTTTCTTTTTGTTTTACTTTTCCGTCTGTCTTTTTCTTGTTTTAAATGTATATTTAATATGCTGGATATGGTCAGTTGATTTTTCTATTGTTTGTTTGTTTGTTTATTTATTTGTTATCTTGAACTATTATCGCGTCTTATAATGTGCATTTTTTGGTGTGATGAAGTGTATGTTTGACAGTGTCAATTCCTTAATGATGCAAATATGTATTTATGGCTAATTCTATTGGTGTAGTTCGTGTTGCCCGGTCTTAAGTTTTCTATGTTGTATTTTGTGTACTGTTGTTTGTCTTCTCGTCGTTTTTTTGTTGTCATGGCATTGTCAGTTTGTGTTCGACTTATGAGTTTGAGTATTCCTTTGGTATCTTTCGCGCCTCTTTTAAAGGAGAAGTCTGACCTTTTAGTAGCAAATGCATATTATTTGATATGCTCAATGAAGGAACATGTTCTTTATATGTGTCTCGTTCAATTTCTTATCTACGTGATTTTTTTTTTGTTTTTGTTTTTGCTTTTTAGGTTTGTGTGTATTTGTGATTGCTGTTTGACATTGATGTGCTTCTTTAAATTGATTTGCGTGCGGTTGGATTTTTCTTTGTGTATTGTATATACAATAAAACAAACAAAAAACAATCAATTACTCGTCTAATTTGAATGAAAATTCAAGACGTTGGTGTCAGGTCAACGATTTAGGCTCCTGGGTACCGTTTCACAAAGCCTTCTTAAGTCTACGTGTCATCGTACGTTCATCGTAAATAAATCGTAGGTTTTACAGCCGTTTCACAAAGCCGTCGTAAGTTAAGATGAGCGTAAATAATACGTAAATCCTGGCGTAACTTACTACAGCTATACCCAGTCGTATCTCGATCGTAGTTTTTTCCGCAAATATGAATTAAACCATATCTAAGATGGCTTTATTCTCGATCAAGATGCCACAAATGTTAGAAGACGAAGAAGAATCTTCAATATTAGAACCACACATTCTTCGTTTGATCATTTTGAAAATGAAATGGATATTATATCCAGATACAGACTGGATAGACACAGTATCAATGAAATCACATTGGCAATAGAACCAGATATAAAACATGATACAAATAGGTCCCATGCACTTACTCCTGAAACGCAGGTTTTGTTAGCTTTGTGCTACTCACTGGTTCTCCGGTAAAGCGCCCATTTTATGACGCTGATTTGTCCCACCGTAACAAAGCATAACTAACGACTTCGAGTTATATACCCGTAGCTTGTTATACTTATATCTGAGATTTTTATTATCTATATTTTTAATTTTTATAAAGTTTAGTACATATTGCACAACGATAGTGATCGTACCGGCCGTCATAATGTTTTCTTTGTAAACCTGTAATTTCCGTTAACGGATAGAAGACCAAGCAAGATTAAATATTTAGCACAACATAGAGTGTGATATGAGTTAAATTTGATTATAAGGTTACCATAAATAATTTTGTTTATAAGGTTACCATAAATAATTTTGTTAAATCGTCATTTATTCCAAATCATATCAGTCTTGAAAACTAAACAAAGTTGAAAACTGCAGAGATTTGTTAAGCATGTAATCTCCGTGGAATGGTATATCCTAAACAAACACCTATTTTGAAAATAAATTCTACATCCAACAGATCGATATCGGTGTCAACATTCAATTTTAATATAAATTCTATCTTAAGATTCACGTATTATGTTTTATAAATGACGAAATCATCGAAATGTAATCTCCGTGGAATGTAATCTCCGTTCATGTTTTTATGAAGAGTGCTTTCTTTCACGTCCGCACTTCTATCGAGTATGGCATGCCAAATAAACATTTTATATAATAGTTACGGATGGCGAATATATAAATTACAGATCAATAACTTACATTGTAATTCAGACGACATAAGAAGACACCATGTGACAATTTTAATTAGTCAATTGTTTTAGTGTAACAGAGTTGCTTTTTTTCTTAGATCTACAAAAAAACACAAAAAAAAACGAACTGGATGTTTTTATATCAATATTAATGCAAGTAAATAATTTTAACCCGTTTTCGATATTAAAGATCTGAAACTTTTATTATTAATATAAATTATAATTCAATTAAACAATTATGCAAGTAGTCATAAAAATTGCTCTGCCTAATGAGTTTAATAAATCATATTGCACAGGGAGAGAAGCTTTTAAATACTTTCTTTCATTAAAAATGAAATTACGACGTCGGCTGAGAGGGCATGGTATATATTTTCCGTTACAATTATTAACAACACCTTGTACAAATATTCTTTTCGAAAATAAAAACAGTTAAATAGAACAAACAAAACTATCCGTCACAATGATATATGAGGGTCTGGATTAGGGGGGAAAGGGGGGTGGGTGGGTTTTACATTTCTGCATTCTGTAATTCTTTTGGTAATCTTTCTCTATTCAGTAAGAAATATGATTATTCTGTAAATTCTTGTGTTCAGACCGTGCATATGAAAATTTCCTGTTGTATCATGATTTTGACATGATAAGATCTTTTTGTCTGTATCAACGACATATAAATATTTAAATCTACATTTTAAATTGATACAAAAAATCAAAATTCTCTGATCTATAGATTTTCATAAATGGAGTCTAAAATATATCCATAATAAATGCACTGTATCAAATGCATATATTAGAACAACTACTTATAACCTGCTACGCGTCGCATACTATGTATAGAGACATGCATCATAAATCTAAGTTAAAAGACAAATTAAAAAAAAAGGAATTCTAAAAGCTTTCTTTGACAAATTCTATACCAACTTCATTTTAACAAGTTTAAATTACATTTTCTAAAATAGAGCTAAGAACTGTTTGTAATGTTGTAAATTTAATTCGTTTGAAATTTTTATTCAAATACGCTGTTGAAGATTACTAAGCGCCAATAGAATACAATAATTTTGTATTTTATAAATTAGTGTCTTCGATAATGAAAAATTCGTCATCGAACAGTCTCATTATCATGTCGGTATTCGAAATGACTTGTTTCATTGTTATTACAAAAAATAGGTCATAATAACATGACAGAGTTTTTTTTGCTTCAGAATGTTCTAGATACAAAGAAAAAAAGTATTATTGAATATCAAAGGAAGTAACCCATCAAAGATACAAGGCTGTGTTTCGTCAACAAATGAAAACATACGAACACACCCACTCACCTGATTCGCTTGTCCTCACAAATATAAAAATTTAAAATATATAAACAATTATATACAAAATAAAGGATAAGGTCACCCCGGATGCCGCACAAATGCCAAGGCAACGAATGAGAAACCTGAAAGGACATACTTGGATTCCAAACCGATACCGCTAAATGCCCACTGTATTCCTTGTAGAGGAAAGCCGAAAATCCTACAATAAAGCATCTCGGAAAGAAACTACCGATACATCAGGGGAACAACAGCTAAAACCCTCAGACATCAAATAGATTGGTCTGATAGTTTCCCACTTGGAAACTACTAATGGATTCCATCTGACCACATGTATCAAACAAACCTGAAAATATCTGCAGAAACTTTCCTCAACAAAAAAATATAATTCAAAACATAAAATATAAGATGTAAGGATAACAATATTTATCCATGAAACCAATTTGGCAAAACAATTTCAATGATGTTGAAGGATTCTCTCTGCAAACATTTTCACGTCCGCTCTCATCGGCATGCTCGACTCGTCGATCTGTGAAAGAAGAGTGTGCCATATTCCGATGTAAATAAACTACGATTCACACCTCCTGTTTACAGCTAGAGTTCCGTTTTACGATACACTTACGATGATACACAGTGCGTAACTTGCGATCAACTTAGTAGTCCTTTACGATGCCTTTGTGAAACACACGTAACGGTAACGAAGAACCACACGTAAACGGATCGTAAAATGATACGGTGGTCGTAAGTTAAGAAGGCTTTGTGAAACGCTGGCCTGGTTGGCTCTAGATTCCTTTTGGTAATGGTGTTTATGATTGTCTCTTGGTGTAACAGTTCTTATTTATCTAGCTGATACATAGGCTGTTACATGAGACATACAACTTTATTTATAGTCGGTATATACAAGACAACGTACAAACAAAAAAATGCACAACAAAATAACATATACAGTACAAGGTCAAAAGTATTCGTAACGTACAACTTTTCCCCATATATATCATTTAAAACGACGTTTTTCCAAAACTTATTGTGGTATCATTTCTGATTGGATTTCAATCAACATGATACCAATAGAATCAGCATTGCCAGATGCTTATGTTTTGATATTTTTGATGTACTTTCCAAAACATGCACACATACAATAAAACACAGAAAACTTGAGTTTATATTCTGGCAACATAAAACATTTAACTTTTATTCAGCAGGTTGTACATTCACATTGCAGCATGCGCGTATAGGGGAAAATACAAAAGCAAAAAAATAGTGGATTGCAACATAAAAAATGACAATGAGGTTCGTTAAACTGATGGTGTTCATCCCGAATATCTTAAATAGAAATTCATGCTCTCATGTTACAGTCTACAAAACATTAATCAGTAGAATTAGGTGTACCTACAAATATTCTAACTGTACTACTATTAGCTCATAATTTAATGATGAACAAAACTAAGTTGCTTTGATTTTTTCGCTGTTTTATTGTAGATTATCATACTCATCCATGTAACAGAGAATGTTTAGACGATTCCGAACCAAAAGAATGTAAATATGATTTTACCATAGAGTATTACTACACCCTGACTCAAGCTTGTTACGATTGTCCTTATAATATCACCGACTGTTTACGTCCACATTGTGTTTCTGCAGATGGTGTGTCACGTGCAATAATGACAGTTAACAGGATGTTGCCTGGACCAGCCATACATGTACGTCAAATTATTCTTTACTGTTAAGTTGTCACAACATGTGTTTGTTAAAGAAGTTTTAATTAGAATTTCGTGTACACTAGAAGCGAAAAGTGAAATCTAAATGTGTTTAACTAGAAAACAAATTGTAAGGCAACCAGAGTGACAACAAAAGAACCCAGTAAAATATATCAATACAACACTAATGATTACAATTTGCATGGGAATACGTTCCATCTATTCTATAATCATTGTTATTAAAGCGTAGATATGTACATAAAAAAAACTTATGAAAGAAACCAGCCTGCTAAATTAAGTACATTAGACATGCATAAAATTCATCACTGGCACTCGAGTCAAAACAACTGAAAGACCAAACCAATAACAAAATTGAAGAGGCTTAAATTGTTAACCAAAATATTTAAAAAGTTTTGCATAGAGCATGCTGTACGAAAAGGTTCAACGGTTATCCTCACTGAATCAGAACCATGCATTTCATTTAAGGTGGTACCAAACATCTTGATTTAAATTAATTTGGCTCGTTTGATTTTCATAAAATTTTGACAAAATATTTATTTTGACCCTTTGACAAAAATATGAAAATTTCAAAAAATTTGAACCACACACTTTATCGGAAAAATTTCATTGGATATATAGCAGTTTGACAAACACTAATTTTGATCATTGAAAAGATTAATATTTCCTTAACAATAAAACGTGATCAAAACGTTCAGCTGATTTTTACAGAGTTCTCTCCCTGTAGTGTTGTGCACCACCTTAAAGAGGACTACTATTGCGTAATCAAATACGACACGTGTAATTTAAAGTTATTTTTTCTTATTTCTTTTAAAGGTGTGCAAAGGGGATACAGTAGTAGTAAACGTTAAGAATATGTTAGAAGGAGGTGAAGGTGTGTCACTCCATTGGCATGGTGTTCTTCAAGAAGGTACCCCACACATGGATGGCGTCACTATGATAACACAATGCCCTATTCATACACATACCACATTTCAGTATAGGTAATTATACAAATACTTTTGTTCTTATGCTGACAAACTATTTCAAAATGATTACTTAACTTTATAAATTCCACAGTGAAATTAGCATCCCAATCTATGACACATTGTATTATTTTATTGTCAGAAAATCAAACGTTCATACTTTTATGACAAAATGGTAACCTCTGCAACCACAAGATGTATTTATCATTGTTTATGATCGTGTTAAAATTCATTTTATGTCATATTTTAGATATATATGTGGAAGTAAAATAATAACAATCTGTATTCATATTACGCAAAAGTACAAATGTCTAAGTGCAACCGCACTAAAGTTACCTACAGCGTTGATATATATTTTATATATATATATACTTTTGATACTCATGTAGTTCTATTGGTAAATTTGGGTAGGTTGTGCATTGTATCCATTGTTAACAACTTACAAGAATATACTACAGAAAAAAAAACCTTTTAAGTTTATTATAACTGATATGTGTGATTCATAGGTGATGCATGTCTCTTTTTTGCCAATAATATTTATAACCAACCAGTTGATGATATAAAACAATTAATACAGATGTCATACAAATTGTAACGGCTTACTCCAAGAATACAGCTGAATACATGTAACGACAGAGAGTGCTTGTACGATTTTTTTTTCTGTTTCGTTTTGTTTTTGCGTTTTGCACGGATAGCTATTCCTCAATATAATTAATGAAATGCACGGAATCATGATGATCCATTGCTTAATTGAATTGTTCATAATAGTCATTCAGGTTTATGCTCTTATAATATACTAGATTATGGAGTGTGTGTCCGAGCGAGAACTTCTCTAGTTCATTACTTTAGGAATATTTATCAAAAAGTAGTATTTCAATATTCAGCCCCATTCTACTATTTAGTCAGACGTCAGTCGCTACCCTAATATACCCTTTCTTTTTCGGGTAATTAATACGGATAGCGTTTGACATCTTTAGCCGAACAGATTTATCATTTTTACATAATTTAATTCATTGTATGCTGGTTCATATTCTGGACGCCAGTCTTTGCTCCTTTCTAATATAATTCACAAACATAAAACAAATATGAAGCTTAGAAATGGAAAAATATTAAATACTAAACTCGTTCAAAGGGTATCTACACGTCTCAATCTTCAAAATCGCTTATCTAAAAATACTACCATCGCTAACATTTTTAACAATAATAATCGTGGTTACCCTTCTATCGATAAGTGTCATGCCAAAAAATGACTTACATGTCCCCGTCTTTCCACCAACAATACGGTAAGGTCCACGTTTAATGGTCGCACATTTTCTTTAAATTTTGAAACTGATATAACTTGAAAAACAAACAGTATAATTTATTTACTCACATGAAACAAACCGGGATGCGGTATTCAGTACGTAGGTGAAACTGGACGATATTTATCTAAACGCACTCAAGAACATCTGTATCGTTTTAAAAGACCCAATAAATTCAAAAGTATCATTTATCAACACCTTAAGAAGCACAATCATCCTATTAAATATTTAGCAGTTCAACCTTTAGAAGTAGTAAATAAGCAGCCTGGTGAATCTCATTCAAAGTTTGTACGATCGCGGAAAATAATTGAATTAAATTGGATTAAAAAATTACAGACAGTCTACCCTCTCGGTCTTAATGATAATATCATGGGAATTGGTAATATATCAAGAACCGATTCTGTTAACATTTTGGATATAGTTTCTAAAACTGTTCGTAAAAACCGTTCTCATGGTCGTAGAAAAAATCGCAATCAAAGAAAATTTCGGACCAATCATACCAATATTTCGGACCTAATTTCTATTTCAAAAAACAACGGCAGACATTATCTGTTAACAAAGCTCTGTTCATTACCGGTTAATAAGTTAAATAAAATTTTAGAGGATTGCAACACAATTTCATATAGCAGTCCTAAGTATGAAATCGTTCAAATTATAATGGCATATTGTTATTCTAAACTGTTTCCCAAAATTGATCGCCCTGAAGATCATAAAAAACAGTTTATTAAAATAAAGTATGTCAATAAAGGTTTTGATTTTGTAAATATTGCCGGTATTTTTAACGACCATTCTGTTAAAGAACAAATTCCGGGATATTTTGATAACACTGAGCTCCCTCTTATTTGTTATATTTACAAGAAATCTACCCGGAAATTTGTGTTTAATTATAGCCAATTGTGTAAAGATGTTAATATCAGTGAAAATACACCTACTTCATGTAATTGCAGTAATTCCGAATACATTTATGGACCCATTTCCCATGTTATAACAGGAGATCTTAACATCGTTCAAGACCGAGAGTTAAAATCATTCCTCAGTAAAGGACCTAAATATCGTCCCCCGTCAATTATTAATTGGAATGAGTGTCGTAATATCATCCACGACTCACTCCATACTTACTGTTTGAAATGGATAAAACGGGAAAAAGCTGACAAAAAATCTTTGGACTCTTTTTTTAAATCAGTAATGAACATAGTTGATATACGTATTCAACATTTTGAAGAACATTTTACTCTTAACAATAACCACAATAAACCTATTTCTCGTATCAAACATAAACTAAAAGAACTAGCCAAGGAATTTGTTTTTGTTCCGGCCGATAAAGCTGCTAATAATATTATTATTGTTTGACGTAAATTTTACATTGAGGTTCTGAAAAAAGAAATCACCAATTCACCAACATTCCAACTGACTCCATTTTCAGAAAACGACATCTGTAACAAACATAAACTTTTAGCTACCGCTTTACAAGCAGAACCAAATACAATGAAAGTCCCAACTATGTATTGGCTTCCGAAGCTACACAAAACACCTTACAAATATAGATTCATTTCGTCTTCAAGCCATTGTTCCACTACTAAATTGTCTATTCTTCTTACCAGTACACTTGGTACAATCAAAAACCTGACAATAAATTGTTCAAATAAGGCTTTCGAAAAAAGTGGAATTAATTACTTTTGGAGTGTCAAGAACTCGTTGGAAGTACTTGATAAATTGCATGCATATATTGGTGATTTTGAATCTGTTCAAAGTTTTGATTTTTCTACCCTATATACCACATTGCCTCACATTCTCATTAAGAAAAAATTCACACACCTAATTAAATGGGCATTTAAAAAGTCAGAATGTGAATATATATGTTCAAACTCTTTTAGGTCATTTTTTAGTAGCAATAAACAAAAAAACTATGTCAATTGGACATGCTTTGATACTATATATGCCCTTGAATTTTTACTAGATAACATTTTTGTTCGCTTTGGAGATTCCGTATATCGTCAGGTTATCGGAATTCCAATGGGGACTAACTGTGCACCACTTATTGCGGACCTTTTTTTGTATTGCTATGAGTTACAATTTATGACAAAAATCAGTAAAGACCCATCGAAACAACATCTGATACACAAATTTAATAATACTTTTAGATATTTGGATGATATTTTGGCTCTCAATAATGACGACTTCAGTATGTATACTAAAGAAATTTATCCTGTTGAACTTACTTTAAATAAAGCTAATACTAACAATGACCACTGCCCTTTCCTCGATCTTGATATCTATATCATTAACGGAAAGCTTAATACTAAAATATATGATAAAAGAGATGATTTTTCATTTCCTATCGTTAATTATCCATTTTTAGATGGTGACGTTCCCTTGTCACCATCTTACGGTGTTTATATATCTCAACTTGTACGATTCGCTCGTGTATGTAACAATGTTTTAGATTTTAACGAGAGAAATTTATGTATTACTGAAAAATTATTACACCAGGGTTTTCGATATCACAAACTAGTCAAAACATTTACTAAATTTTATCATCGGTATAAGGACATCATTCGTAAATATAGCTCAACATGCAGACTTCTTATACGTGCAGGTATTTCACATCCAATTTTTTATGGAAATATTCTTTATAAAGCACAAAAATGTCAGTATTCACCTCTGAAACTAACAAAACCTTTAAATAGACTTATTAAGAAGGGATATAGTTACGATACTGTTGTCAGGTCATTAAAGATTGCATATTTTGGCGTTAATATTGATTCACTTATAGGGTCTTTGCATCGGCACTAAACACATTTATTTAAAAACCAGTTGTTGGCATGACACGGGTTATGTTCTTCTCATATATGTTATGATGGTATGATACTAAACCCCTAACGGGAAGGATTGTGCCTGATATTCATATGATGAAGACATAATCTTTCAATCAGTTTAATTGAAGTCTGGAGCTGGCATGTCAGTTAACTGCTAGTAGTCTGTTGTTATTTATGTATTATTGTCATTTTGTTTATTTTCTTTGGTTACATCTTCTGACATCAGACTCGGACTTCTCTTGAACTGAATTTTAATGTGCGTATTGTTATGCGTTTACTTTTCTACATTGGCTAGAGGTATAGGGGGAGGGTTGAGATCTCATAAACATGTTTAACCCCGCCGCATTTTTGCGCCTGTCCCAAGTCAGGAGCCTCTAGCCTTTGTTAGTCTTGTATTATTTTTAATTTTAGTTTCTTGTGTACAATTTGGAGTTTAGTATGGCGTTCATGATCACTGAACTAGTATATATATTTGTTTAGGGGCCAGCTGAAGGACGCCTCCGGGTGCGGGAATTTCTCGCTGCATTGAAGACCTGTTGGTGGCCTTCTGCTGTTGTCTGTTCTGTGGTCGGGTTGTTGTCTCTTTGACACATTCCCCATTTCCATTCTCAATTTTATATAGTAGTTTTTGTCTCGCTTCGACGAAGTCGTGAAAGTGAAACTTATATATGCTGTTGCCGGCGTCGGCGGTAGTGTCAACAATGTAGTAGTTTATGATTAGGTAATTTTATGGAGAACCACTAGTGGTAGGTCCATGACATTTGATAAGCAGTTGCATTAGAATTGGCACATCTCATTTCCATGGAGATTGTTTGGCCTGCCCCCTCAAATATGGTCTATTGACTTTGAAACTTTTGCTTAGTTTACATATATTAGTATGTGAATATGTTAGTTTATAGGGAACCACTAGTGGTATGTCAATGGTATTTGGTATGCAGTTGTATTAGCATTGGCACAACTCATTGTTGGACCCGCCCCCTCAGTCATAGTCTATTGAGTTTGAAACTTTGGCTTTGTTTACATGTATTAGTTTGTGATAATTTCAGTTTATGGGGAACCACTAGTGGTATGTTAATGGTATTTGGTATTCAGTTGTATTAGTATTGGCGCATATCATTTCCATAGAGATTATTTGGCCCTGCCCCTTCATTCATAGTCTATCAACTGTGAATGTTTTCCTTAGTTTATATGTATTAGTTCATGATTTGTCCAGTTTAAAGGGAACCATTAGTGGTAGGGCAATGATATTTGGTATGCAGATGTATAAGCACATGGACATCTCATTTCTATGGAGATTTTGTGGTTCATTCCCCTCAGTCATAGTCTATTGACTATTTTGCATAGTTTACATGTTAAAGTGTGTGATAAGATTATATTAAGGTGGTACCAAACACCTTGACTAAAATTAATTTGGCTAGTTTAGTTTAAATAAAATTTTGACAAAATATTTACTTTGACACTTTGACAAAAATGACAAAAATATAAAAATTTCAAAAAACTTAAATCACACACTTTATCAGAAAAATTTCATTGGATATATAGCAGTTTGACAAACACTAGTTTTGATCATTGAGAAGCTTAATATTTCCTTAACAATAGAATCAGCAGTGGCGGATCCAGAACTTTTCATAAGGGGGGGCCCGCTGACTGACCTAAGGGGGGCCCGCTCCAGTCATGCTTCAGTGATTCCCTATATAATCAACCAATTTTTTCCCACGAAAGGGGGGGGGGGGGGGGGGGGCCCGGACCCCCCAGGCCCCCCTCCCCTGGATCCGCCTATGGAATGTGATTAAAACGTTCAGCTAATTTTTACAGAGTTATCTCCCTGAAGTGTTATGTACCACCTTAATTCATTGATAGTTGGTGTGTAGTTGTAAAGGCACTGGTATTTCTCATTTCCATGGAGGTAATTTGCCTGCACCTCCAGTCATGGTTCATTTTGAATGTTTTGCATAGTTAACATGTTTAGATATTGCCATTTTAATATCAAAATTCGCATTTTACTATCAAACTTTTAAAAACAAAACATACCTCTGTGTTAACAGTTTATTTCAAGATATATTTTGATTCTACATGACTTTTGGACACTATTATTGACGCTTTGCATGTACATTATCATGACCAATCGAAAGCTATTTACTAAAACTCATAATTTTGTATGCAATTGTGATTTGAAACAAGGTATTCTGTAGATTACATGTACATTTATTTGAAGAAAAACTAGTAAAACAACATGTATAGAAAACTTCAAATTTCTTCTTCAGATTTAAAGCAAATGACCCTGGAACACATTTCTGGCATGCACATTCCGGTCAGCAGAGAACGGATGGTATGTTTGGATCTTTTGTCATCAGACGGCCAAGATCACACGACTTAAGTTCCATCCACTACGATGAAGATCTCCCCGAACACACTATTATGTTAAACGATTGGTTAGATCAGATGGGAGCAGAAGCTTTTGCTGCGGGACATCATGCAATGAAAGACCATTTTCCTAGTTCGATTCTCATAAATGGTAAATACTTATTACTCCTTTGATTTGATATGATCGGATGTGACGTAACTACGTAACTGGCTGTCATCCTATTTAATAAAGGTTTAACAGTATGAGGTTTTAACAAATACAACGATCTTAAAATAACCTTGTACTATGAAGTCACATTCGATAGTCGAATTTAGCTCATACAATGTTTATATAAAATGTTCTACTTTGCTTTTAAAGGAAGCTTAGATCACAAATTATAATTGCACAACTAAAGTATGTCTGTATTTGTAACGACTACATTATAGTGTTCTTATTTTACTGTCAGTTTTGTCACTCTGTATATTATGACATGTCTCACATGTTAAGCAGGACTTGTTTGTCTTTATATTATGACATGTATCACATGTTAAGCAAGACTTGTTTGTCTGTTCGTCGATTATCGTTTTTTTGCCATGGCGTTGTCAGTTTTTCGTCGACTTATTAGTTTTGAATGTCCCCTTGGTATCCTCCGTATCTTTTTTATTTTGATTTAGCATTATCTTTGAATTTCTTCAAAAATACAATATTCATTCATTCCTTGAGTCCATTTACGTAAGTCTTTGAGGTACATGTATCTTTCTTCAATTATCTATCCTTTGGTACAAGAGATAACACGGTTATTACGATACAATTTGACAGAAATTCAGTAAAACAAATACAGTTGATTTTTCAGGGTTAAAACTTATGTCAAAACCCCAACAGGCAACGTTATCCCATATCGACATTGCAGTTTCTGTTTTTCACCAAGTGACCACTTGTCACATATTTTGGTCGTTTCAGGTTAATAAGCTCTTTGTTTGTTTAATAAGGTTTTGATTTTCAAATATTTTTGCCTCCATCATCTCTGAAGAGACATGTATTGACGAAATGCGAATCTGGTGTTCTAAAATTTTATTATGATAAAATACAATTGTTCTGCTCAACATCCAAAAGTTTGCTCTGATTGTAAACAGTATGGGGTTTTAATAAATGGGAATTCTTTTTTTGGCTGAACTCATTTTGCCGTTATAAGACAAAAAAACAAGAAGACACCACATTGGTTATTACATTTCATAAAGTTTTATAAATTGTAAAACCCTTATCCTATTTTTCATACTTCGTTCATCGAATACGTGTACATTTGACCTCTTATCGTCATTTTTTTGTTTCTTAGCGCTGTTGGTTAGGTTCGTAGTGCTCAATCTTAACTTTGCTATCTAACGTTTTGTGTATTACTAATTGCCGATTCGTCTTTTTGTTCATTTGACCAAGGTTTTGAATCTCCATTTCTATCTGAAATCGTAGATCTGTGACCTCTGTAAAATAAAGATGTATGCTTTAAATCACAAATACAATGGAAACAACGAGCTCCGAGTAAAGATACTCTTAAATTCATTACATGTAATAAGCAGAGAAGGAAACGGAACAAATAAGAAAAAACGACCAAGATGCGTGTCTCTGTGGTATTTCCACAGATGCTTACAAACGGTAGAATATGTTGGAAACTGGATTATGTAAGAATATTCTGCAATGATGAACTTCATACTCATTAAAACTAATAATAGTACAATACTTTTATGTTTTTGATTAGGACGAGGAACTGTCAAAGAATTTAATGAAATGACAGATCACGGTTCCCACCATAAAGATACGACTTTAGCAGAAGATATGATTATGGACACTTTGACAACTACTCGCACAATGGAAATGTCTCACGGTGATCATATGTTTGAACACATGATGCACAAAAGAAGTTCAGAAAATGCAGAAATGCAATCGGTTCATAATATGCATAATATGGAAACTGGCGCCAACAGCATGTCTGATCTCGATGCACGTCATACGCCGCATTCACTTTTCAGAGTTAAACAAGGAAAGAGATATCGCTTTCGAATAATTAGTAATGGCATCGCCAACTGTCCCATACAGTTCTCCATCGATCACCATAGTTTAACTATGATATCAACAGACGGATCACCATTCAACCCTATCGCAGTTGAATCATTTACCATTTTTGCAGGCGAAAGATACGATTTTGTTCTGACTGCTAATCAACACACGCGAAACTACTGGATTAGAGCACGAGGACTAGCCGAGTGTGGACCTGAATACAAATCAGTTAGTCAGACGGCTTTCCTTACATACGAAGATGCTGCTATTGTTTTACCCCCAGAATCCCCTGATTATCAAAGCGGAAATAGACAAGGGCTGGTAGGTAATCAAACAAATACGACTAAAAAATAGAGGTAAACGTCAATGAGACACCAATAAAAAGCCTTAAACGCTATTTAAAATAAATAGAATACTGTTGTCAACAATATTCACGTTTTTATACCAATTATCGAGTTTTAAAGTTCTAAGTCGTCCCGTTTTTTTTTAAGTTTTCAATAAATAATCAAAAATCATCAAAAGGAATGTGTATACTAGTATTGGATGTCAGTTCACTATAACTATCTTGAATTTAGTTTGTGACAAAAAGAAATACAGTGGAGGAGTAAATGCTAATGCTGCTTTTCCATGATTCTGAACAAAACAGAAATAACTTCTTCTAAAAAAAAAGAAAAAAGAATTATAATGGTAAACAATAGAACGACTGGTTAACTAAAGTAAATTTTCAATATGCGTCTAAAATATTTTTATTTTCCATAAAATACCAATGGAAGTTACATATGACTAGCCGAGAAAAGCAAGTCCTGGTTACCTCAAGCTTTTGAAAGTTAATTATGCATGTATCCACTATATAAAATAACGTACTAAATTGATTTTTTTTAAACATGACAGATATTAAGCAATGGCTACTTGGTGAATGATAGTCTTGGGGACTGACAATCCCACAACAGGGATACCGACCTAGTGGTATTAAGAAACGCAATCGATTGAACATATTTGTTTCTTGAATAATCTTAAAAACTTATGTTTCATACCATAGAATTAAACACCTAAATTTAAACAACTTTTAAAACAAAAGGGTTGCTAAATATAACAGTTAAACCTGTTTTAGGTGAACTGACCTTGAATTTTAGACCTTGAGACACACCCGCTTTGTAAAACCTGTTCATTTGTTTTTTGTAGATGTTAAACCCTTTAAATATCGGGCCATCAAGAGGATTTATAACTGTAGATCAACTTGATTCTTCAGTTCCTGATGACGATGTGTTAAAACCAGTGCCAGACAAGAAGTTTTATATAGCAATGGATTTTAATATGGTGGAAAACCCATATTTTCAGAACAGCAAATACTATTCACTTAATACCATGATGAACAAACATGGACATGGGAAACACAGCATGCATATGTTGTCACCACAGCTTAATCATATATCATTTTTGGTGCCTCCATCGCCCCCACTTACCCAACATTCAAAGACTATAAATGTAAGTTTAGACAGATTCTTTTGTACCACTTAATATCGATGTTTTATATATTTTTGAATTATATTTTTTTAAGTTAAAAGTTTAGTTCTGTATTCCTTTTTTCGATTGTTGAAACTTAAATTTCATAAGACATTTTCGTACTTGAGGAGATGTGAAATTTTGATTCCTTATAAGTATACAAAAAGTCTTTTTAACAGTAACATTCTTGATTATGACAGTTTTTGGCAGAATTCATTCGATATACCTTTTACTATATGTATCATCCTTTAAGGGGGAAACAAGAGTAAACAATTTAAAAGGCTAATCTTTGTAATTGTAGAACTATGGAAAACATATGATCTGTACTGGTTTTAATAAATACTACTTTTAGTTTATTTAATTATTTCATCAAAATCTCAACTTTTATATTGTTTTTTTTTTATTATCTTTCTTTAATATTTTACAGAAATACATTTATACTATTTTGATCTCATTAGTATATAAGGTAACGGTTTTCAACGATAACAACTTACAAAATTACCATAAACTTATAAAAACATTTATTTAAGCTGCTTTTGTTCGTTTCTCAATGAGCAAATTTGATATATGAGAATTTTAATATGTTTACAGGACTATTTCTGCAATGAAGATACTATGAGAGATAAGGATTGTGCCACAGAATTCTGCCAGTGTACTCATCGTCTCAAAGTACAGCTTGGAGAAGTTATTGAACTTGTATTGGTTGATGAAGGAAAATCGATGAATAATAATCATCCAATGCATTTACATGGACATAGCTTCAGAGTAGTAGCGATGGAAAAGGTAAGAGCATATAATTAGACATAGCTTTCTAAAACCCATCTACAGAAATAATGAAGGTAATGGGATATATATGTCTACCGGGACCAAAACTGTCCACAATTACTCTAACACAGTTTGCGTTACGTACTTAATACCTGGAACGGAGGTAGGTCAATGATGAAGAGTTTTGCATTTAATAAGGTTTACTTCTTTTCAGAGTATGTTTCAAGATATGCACTTTTGAACTTCGATTAATTTCATTTAAATTTAGGCGGAATGCATCTGCAACTTTCGGACAGTAGTTTTTAGATTTACAGATTACATTGTAGCTGGAACATTGTTAAAATATAATTAGAAAATGTATTTGTAGTCAGGGTTTCTGCTTTGTTTTTCTAAGATTTGCCATTGAACTTAAGAAAAATCATCCTTTATATATGTGACACTTGTTTGTCTGCTTCATGTTGATGCTTAAATGCAAATACCACTGTATGTAAGTGAAACTAGTTACAATAGAGTTTTTTAAAAGTTGGTGCATTGCCAATATAACAAGCTGTAAAACATTGTGTAAAATGCTCAGTTTATACTGCTGTGTTCATGGTAAAATAACATCACATCTCTATTATCTTGAAACACCTGGTTCATTTGTGTAATAGATGTTTGTGATCGACACATCAATGTTGGAATAATAAAATAATGTTTTAGCAGTAATCTATATCATTAAGACACTATTTCCTAATGTTTTATTTTAAACATCTCTTCAAAAGTAAAAATACAAAGATTGAAAACGGACAGGAAATTCATATCATTTAGATTAGAGTCATAGTAGTTCTCGATTTTGATATAGTGATAGATTGTGGATTTGTATGGCGGGTATTGCATACACAGCGGAAGATGATTACACTGTCGACGCACACAAAATTGCTCCTTTTGGAGTTCATGCGATTCCCTCCGTTTTTGTTGTCTCGCCTTCGACGAAAGTCGCGGAAAGCGAGACATAGGGATTGCTTTACCGGCGATTTGTCTTCTCAATCGATTTAGGAGATTTGAACATCAGTAAACTAAACTAAATGTTTAAATCTCGTAAATCCATTTAAAATATACAAAATTAAGATATAAAAATTTCTGAGAGAATCCTATGAACTCCAAATCGGGCAAGAACCTGCTATGAATGCATCATCCATTATGCTAATCTACAGTTAGTCAAAATCTCACAAATTAAGACAGCGATAGTGTATGATGTTGAAGTCTAAAAATAAACAAATCATGATAACAAACAAAGTTAAATGAATTGATTGAACTATTTTAACAGATAGTCTTCTTTTTGTTGTAAAATTTAATTAATATTGATAAATTTTTAGTGTTTTTCATAAATAACAATAAACTGGTATTTCATTGGAATTAAATATGTTTTTTGTTCGTGTGAAATCATCCTGCAAGTTTTTTCGTTCAAATTGAAGTTCTCTTCCATTTCCATTGCCTACTTGTTTATCTAAGCTGTATTTGGCAAAACCTTTCGGAATATTGTATCCTCAATGCTCTTCAATTTCCTACTCTATTTTGGTTTTTTAACTGTTTTTAATTCGAGCGCCACTGATGTGTCGTTCGTAGACAAACACGTCTGGCATATAAAATTTTAATCCTGGTATCTATGAAGAGTTTATTTACATGTAAGGTATCTATCCTATGACTATTACATGCTATCTATTGTCATAAGTGATTTATCCAATGAGATGTATCGTCACTCATTGATTATGTTATGTCTAAATCAAATACTATAATTAATCAACTATTACTATGATGTACATGTCGGTATTTTTTACTCGGACCCCTAAATGTTGTAATGTTAATGAAGACCATGCCAGTGCAGAAAAAAAGGAAATCGACACTTTGTTTGGTACTAGACATATCATTCACCATAAAAAAATCTTTTATAACTTTACTGTGTAATAAATTACTAAAGTATGTCTTTCATGGTCGTGTAAAAATGCCTTGCATGAAATAAAACATTATATTACATCGTTATTAGTTATGAATATCAAGCTTACACGACAGAAAGTTCAAACTAAAAAATGTAATTGCATATCTTGACAGCAAATTGGTTTTTTTTTTCAAATATATAATTTTATATTGTTATAAAGACCTAATATAAACTGTCTATATCATAATTTGTTTAAAATAACAATTAGAATGAATTGCTGATTTAAGAGATTTTTCGGTTTATCGACAAATCGCAGCATTATTACTTCTTCGATGTGTATTTTAAGAGAATATATACAAAAAGCTGATAGAGATATCATTACGCATGTATTGGCAGTATGAAAACTATCTAATGGTTACATGTTGCATCTTTGAAATAATTTACTGATCAAGGGGAGATAATCGAAAACGTTTATTGTAACACTAATAAATATTTTCTTTTATTCTGAATTAAAACACCAACTGTATAAAATGCAAGATTTCGTTATCACTGATTTCAAGAGTTTATAAAGCGTTTACATATAAATGTAACATGAAGTCGTGTTTAAGGAGCAATAAAGTCTATATTTGTTTCTAAATCTGTCTATTTTATATGAGATGAAATGTGTTTTAAAGTAGAGAATTTTATTAAATTTTATATTTAGTTTCAGTTTATTAAGTATAATTTTTTTGCCTTATACGGTCAAATATTACCATGATGTTATGGCTGTTTTATTAAGTCAATTCCGCTTTGATGCTCATACATAGAAATGTGGAAACTTTAGGAGCTATATGAATAAAATGAGAACTAAAAGAGCAGTGTAATTAATTTAAATCAACTTTGCCTGAGGGTGTTGGAGCCTTAGTTTCTTAAAAATTGCTTAATTTTTTCAACGGATAGTTTTATAAAAGTAGGTTAAAATCATGTCAGTACCAAAGCACTGACAATTGAGCTAATGATATCCTCGCGGACATGAAGGTCAATGTAAACCCGAGTCAACCCGATGACGGATATCCCAAAACATGTTTTATTTAGTATTCTAAAGTGAAATCGCATTCCTACATCATCTGACATAAATATTGATAATTCGTTATTGTTTAAAACACAAACAAAGAGTTATATACACGAATGTAAATTTACATAGCTGAATTTACATGTGTTGTCTTATGTAATGAAGTAAGTAGCAGTAGGTTGGTATTTTAAAAGGGCCATGCAGTCATTGTTCAAAAACAAGATTTAGTGACATTCTTTGTTTCAATTGTTTGAAGCTATCAATATTTATTGTACAAAATGTAGTTAAATTTCCTTTGATTATGCTCTGAGCTTTCTGTTAAGAATAACCTATGCCTTCAACAAAATTTTGATAAGGAAAGTCTTTGACATTGAAAATTCCGATCATGCCATTTACAGTGAGATTTCGTTACCAGCAGTTCCTAAGGGCGTCGGTGACTTAAGAAGAAGTGTGTATGCAAATGAATCGACGCATATCTCTTTTTTTGAAACGATTAAAATGTGACAAATATTGACAACTTTCTTAATTGGTTTCCTTTAACAGCTAAATACATCAACAACAGTCGAGTTTGTAAAAGTATTGGATGCAATGGGACAAATCAAGCGGAAGTTACAAAGGGCCGTGTTGAAGGATACAGTCACTGTTCCTGATGGTGGATATACCATTATACGATTCAAGGCAACTAACCCAGGTTAGAGTCAATTTAATCTTCTTTCCACACTTACCAGTAGGGTGGAAAGACAATTGAAATTGTTATAAAACTGTTAGATAAGGTTTAGCGTCCCTTAATTTTATGTTTTTATATTCCTCATATTTTAATTCTCTGAAGAACAAACAAGATAAAAGCTATATTAAATCAGACCATGTTATCACCTTTTTGTTTGATCTTATGTCCTAATTACAATACATGTATATTTGTGATTGTTGTGGGTTTTTTATGTTTTGATTTTTTTGTGTTTTGGGTGGGTGCGTGGGTTAACAGTATCAACATCACTTCAATAAAATTGAGAATTGAAATGGGGAATGTGTCAAAGAGACAACAACCCGACCATAGAACAGACAACAGCAGAAGGTCACCAACAGGTCTTCAATGCAGCGAGAAATTCCCGCACCCGGAGGCGTCCTTCAGCTGGCCCCTAAAACAATATATATACTAGTTCAGTGATAATGAACGCCATACTAAACTCCAAATTGTACACAAGAAACTAAAATTAAAAATAATACAAGACTAACAAAGGCTAGAGGCTCCTGACTTGGGACAGGCGCAAAAATGCGGCGGGGTTAAACATGTTTATGAGATCTCAACCCTCCCCCTATACCTCTAGCCAATGTAGAAAAGTAAACGCATAACAATACGCACATTAAAATTCAGTTCGAGAGAAGTCCGAGTCTGATGTCAGAAGATGTAACCAAAGAAAATAAACAAAGTGACAATAATACATAAATAACAACAGACTACTAGCAGTTAACTGACATGCCAGCTCCAGACTTCAATTAAACTGATTGAAAGATTATGTCTTCAGGCACAATCCTTCCCGTTATGGGTTTAGTATCATACCATCATAACATATATGAGAAGAACATAACCCGTGTCATGCCAACAACTGGTTTTTAAATAAATGTGTTTAGTGCCGATGCAAAGATGACAACTTTAATATTTAAATTGGTTTGTTTTGCATGAATTAAATCAATAAAACAGCAACTTAACAGCAAAAAACCACAAAAGACTTCTAGAGGTTAACAATTGGTTTTCAATGATAGTCGAGTATTCATACCATATGTCAAACTATAAATAGTCCCTAGTGTAAACAAATTGTGCATGAAGCTTACAAAGGTAACCTAATGACTGCCATCAGCAGATTTTTGCAGGACATAAAATGCTCAGATGCTATGAACGACAACCAGTTAAGATTTTTTATAAGATGCGGAGGGATTAGACTAGTTTTTTAGTACTTACCATTTTAATGGCATAGCACATATCAAAACGTACAATAAAATCTGTTCAGAAAAAGCACTCAATGATATCGGTACTGAGTATGTTCGTTTGTCCGTTGGCAATGTAATCTGATATAATAGTTAATTATTATTCAATATAGGTATGAACTGACAATGGAATTTTTTGAAAAGCCTATCGTAATTATTATTATATTGTATTGGTTTCAGGTTTTTGGTTGTTTCACTGTCATATAGCTTTTCACATGGCAATGGGTATGACTTTGGTAATTCAAGTAGGCGAAACACACCAAATGCCAAAACCTCCGAAAAGCTTTCCAAAATGTGGCGATTGGACTCCAGAATCAGTAGATGATGAAGTACCTGAAGAATTTAAATCATGTCCACAATTACCAACTTCTATAGCGACATCTACAACAACTGCTGCCACGACAACGAAAGCATCTACAACAGTAATTGTCTTTCTTGTTTACTGTTTGCTTAGCTAGCGCTTTTTAAAACTAACTTACTAAAGGATCGTTCATTGAAATCCTAATGCTACTAAAATCCATGTCTGTGCAATGTGTCTTTTAAAGAGAATTTTTGAATGATTTACTATTACATGATTATAGTCTATGTGTATTTGAATGTGAAATCCATTTATATGTTTATACTAAATCTATCTTTATACATTAACATGCTTATTAAAATGTCTTGTTGCTATGTGTGTGTGTATTGTCTTTGCCTACGTATTTAGAAAATCTGTTAAATGGATCATACTGATCACGTTTAACATCACAAAACTTAATGTTACTAATGTGTTTTATGTTTTTCCTGATTTAGATACATATGAGGGATTGGATGGGGTTTACAGAATAGAGAATAATGGGCATAAAATTCAGAATAAAGGGCACAAAATAAAGAATACTGAAAAATAGGCAAAAATATAAAGAATATAGAAATTATAGGGTACTGAAATATAAAGAATAGAGAATAATTGGCCATGAAAATAAAGAATAGAGAAAAATGGCGTGAAAAATTATAGAAAACAGAAGAAAGACCACCCAGACCCTCATATAAACATATTGTGCACCTTGCAGAAACATTTGCAAATCTGTCAGACAAAAGTACTCATCTGTTAATGCCTTTTATCAAATAAGATCTGATTAATTTTATTGGTGGCGTTTTCCGCTCAAGATGCACTTTCAATCCTTTAGTTTAGGGGAACATAACATTCAAGGCAGACAAATATTTGTAATTCAATCAAACGTTTTACAAACATTTTATTAGAACAGAATAATATTTTGTTAGTAGGCGACATCTACTGTCATAAGGATTGGACAAGGTGAGAAAACACAATCCCATTGCTAAGGGAAAAGGTCAACAAAACACTACGAAGAAAACTGAAAATTGCACAATTTTTAACAGGACAAAAGAACGGGATTGGAAGCAGAAATCTAACGACTGAATTTCAAGAATTTGATGGAAATCATGTATTCCTTATATAGAACACAGGATATAAAACGATAAGGATATTGATTGCTCATTCTGTTGGATATCAAATTTCTTTTTTCAATTCTTGGTATTCTTTTGAATTTAAAACAGGCACAAGCAATACATGTTACAAGAATGTGAATTTACGGTTAAGTATGTGCGTCCTTTCCCAGAACAAAATAAATAGAAGTTTATATAGGGCTATAATATATATATTTTCTATTTAATACTTTTTAATACCCATATTGTATTCATACAATTTACATAATCATTTTAATCTGTATGTCCTTAACTGTCGTGTACGCATATGATGAAACAATTTAACGTTAATATCTAATATTTTCTGTCATGCATCACTATATATACATCTACAAGTAGTACGAATGACATTGAAATAAATATAGAATATTTGAGTAAAAAGATATCAAAAATTAATACTGTAATACGCCTATATATATATTTCTCTAATTCTTCGTCAATTTATCCCTTTCTGCACCCATTGTATAAAAAAATTTAATCAACGTGTGGTTCGTTTGATCTCAGTTCTTCATTGGTTAAAATCCGATTATGACGTCGAATTTTCTTGCTTCCCTCTGAATTTCCTATTGTGACGGCATGAAAAAAGGCGATCATGCCTGAAGACGTCACATAGAAAGAACACATCTTTTTGCAGATCATTCGAAAAGAAGGAATAAATTTGCCTGCGTATTGTTGAAAATCATTAGAGAAACAGATCCCACCACCAAATCTCGTGTAATACGATATTTATCAACTCTCGGCTGTTAAATTTTAAATATTTAAAACGCTCGGCGAGCCTCGCGTTTTAAATTTGAAAATTTAACTGTCTCGAGTGGATAAATATCGTATCACACTCGATGCAGTGGTAGAATCTATATATATACATTTAATAAAATAAATATGTATTCATATAAAAACCAATTAATTTAATAATTCATTTGGGAATGGTACGTCAATATAACTAAATCAGAAAAATGTGTTACTAAAGAAGTCTGGAGAAGCGACATAACTTGAACATAAATTATATCGGACGTATACTGCATTTGTAATGTACGATGGACCATGTTCACATTGGGCTATCTACCGAATACGAGACAATAATATCCAACTAGAAATTAATGAAGATTTAAAAAAAAACAAATGTTTGATATTTATGTGAGATAGTTCAGATACAAAAATAAAGCATAAGTTGTATGGCTTCTTTGCACGTTTCTATTAATTTGTACTTGTCTGTACTAAGTATTGATTAACTTATTTTGTATTAGAATTTTATTGGCGCAATTAACATTTTATTTGCATGATTTGAATGCTATATTTTGTTTTGTGTTTTAAAGTTTGTCTTGTTTTGGTTTGAATGAATGTCAAGAAAAAGGTTGATGATATAACAAATTAAAATTTCCTTTCCGATCTGTGCAATTTTAGTAATAATTATTCATTGAAGAATAAATAAAATGTAAAATTCACGTTAACATTAAATTTCCTTTGTTCATTTTTAAACTGATATTATGTTACTTTTATGAATTATTGAATATACGTTTATCCCAAAAAGCAGTGAAATATCAAAGACTGTATTGTATGTTTTATATTTACTTTACTTTTACTGTTTCTTTCTTATAGTTCTATTTTTATTTCTTTCATATAGTACTATTTTTGTTTCTTTCATAAAATACTATTTTTGTTTCTTTCATATAGCACTTTTTTTTGTTTCTTTCTTGTAGTATATTTCTATATTTCTGTTTTTATTCTGCTTTTTCTATAATTCTAAGTTCTTCTTTACCTTCTTTACAGCTACCATCGGAAAATCAATACTTGGGTGGTCTTTCACAGACACGTGACGTTGATGGCAGTTCAGTTACACTTCATTATGTTCTACTTCTATGGATGACTGGTAAAAAGTCGAATAACACAACACCAGCTTTAAATATGTCAAAACCCAATCGTGTAAACAATTATGGCCATTTTCCAATTCCAGTCAGCAATGGCGCCAAAAAATTTCTTCCAAAACCTGCAGTTAATATACATGCTTTACGTAACATCCCCGATATTCCTATACATCTAACTGGACGTGCTCGAACTACTCTTCAGGAACTAATACAATATGCTAAACCACTTGACATGCGTAAACCTTCAAGAACGAGAGGAAGAATGTTAAAACGTTTAAGACATAAGACAATCCTTGGGAAAAAGTTATCAAATATTTTAAAGAAACAACAGCTTAGAAGATTACATAGGTGATTTAAACATTTCACAAATTCGATACAATGTTGAAATCCACCAATTCTTTGGTCATCGCTATCATCCCGGATTTAAACATGGGTGACTTTTGACAGAGCTATGGGATCTTTACACATTGGATATTTGTGTAGTGGGTACTACTGACAACAACCAGGTATGGTTGTTAACATTGGTTCACTTCGTGCTTTAGCATTGTTTATAGCTGAGAAATCTTTGTCGATGACATTGATTAACTGCAGACACGTTAACACGTTGCATCAAAAATTCGTGGCTGTGAAGTACGTATTGTACCTGTACTGATTGGATCAATTCATACTTTTGGGCCGAGTCTGTTTGCATTTTGAACGGATAACGGATAGGACAAGAAAACTTGTGCATAGTTTTCATGTTAATTGTGGAACTTACATTTTATTGTTTCAATCAATTTGAATAGTTTTTTCCATTTTATCACACATATTACATATACATGTATATTGAAAATTATAATTGCGGATTCTAAGCAAAAACGAAAGCAATTACAATCATTCATGCGGTTTACGAAGAAAACACAGTCTGTAGTCACATAAAAAAATTTTATTTTTGTGTTGTAAGAAAAAAAAATCATATTTTCTTCATCTCCTACATCTGATTTCAACCTAATTTTTTTAATTAAATTGATTTTTTTTCTCACTAATATTTAATATATTTTATTTATTTTATTTCAATTTTTTGTATTAATTCTCTTATTTGCATTTGCATTTAATTTAAAACGATTAAGGTAAGGCTTGAGAATTAATTTTTTTTTCTAACGGCGATTATGGGAATAATTCCTAAAGGAAACACCAAACTGTGGTTTCTGTATATCATCTTTTCTTGTAAGTTAAGTCACAAATACTCGGGACCAGTTTTGTGAATGCATTATATATTGAATCATAATTCATATAAAAGCATTCAGTGTATTGCCACAGTTATTATTTATTTTAACTAATTGTATTATGCATGTTTACCATTTTGTCATTTGTAACTAAGTTCATTGTTGTTTTCATGTTTTGTTGCTTTGTTTTCTTCAAATGTGATAATACATAGAAAATTCAAAAGTACAAATAAAAATCTGACGATAACATTAAAATAGAGATATGTAATTTTTTCTGTACTGAATATAACAAATAAAGATTTGACATTTATATTCCTTTATGAAACACATTGTAAAAAATCTGCATGGCTTAAGATTCTTTCTCTTGCTTTGTATTCGAGTATTCGGAGGACATAAAAACAAAATCTAAAACACTCATTGCATTGAAGAACCTTAAATTTATTAACTCTCTGTAATTAAAGTATAAATAAAAAACAAGTCTTACGATACCTTGATCAGTTTTTGTTATATCTGTAAAAATGGTTCATTAATTGACAATATTGTTAGGTCAAGACAAATGATTTAATATTGATTAATTATTGTTTCACCTTGACAATGTTGTTATGTCAAGACAAATTAAGATATTTTGAATAACTGTTGTTTTACAATGACGATAATAAGCATTCTCTGTTTGGCCCGTATACTGTTTTCTATTTTGCAGGGTTTTTTTATCTTACTTTTCTTTTTTTTTTTTTTTTTCACTAGTAAACGAGTTTTGATCTGAAACGGTCATTTCAATTTGAACTTTTGTTACATGACTGAAAAATATATTATAACATGATTTTCAGTCATTCAGTCAATTTGCATCTCTATCCACTGCGGTAAATTCAGTGCTGTTAACAAAATTAGCTTGCAGTCAATTAAGATATGTTTAGACTATGTTCAGATTGTTCAGTAGTTGTTATTTACCTGTGTACAAAACATCATACTAAATTGTCTGAAAAGCTACTGAACAGCACTGAATTGACTGCAAACGAATTGCCTGAACAGTACTGAATTTAAGTCTGAAAATTGAATGACAGAATTGAAGACTGAACATGACAATAATTTTTTGTTCAAACCTTCTAGATGATGTTAAGATCATTATCACCGTTTCAGATCAAAATTAGTGTTCTAGTGAATCTTAATTTGATAACAAGACAAATGATGCAAATATTTGAAAAAAATCTAAATGCTAACTTTTTGGGGTTTTTCTCTTTTTGTATATAAGGTATAAGTAATCAAAAAATTCGTTTAATTATGAATATTGTATACGAGCATAATACGATACATTTTGTTCATTTTTATAATTTTTTTGCATTCATCTTTATAAAACTAGAATTCACTGAATTTATCTTGAATAATTGGATGGCTACATTGCACTCACACACTCACTTAAAATAATATTCTAAAAGCGATAATTTTTAAAAATACAACTTTACATAAGACAAGATTACACAGATATTATTTATTGTCCAGAATTCACTGAATGTAAAAGGAAATACTATTCAGAATGCGATTTGAATTATTGTTGAAACGCGCAATTATTTATTATATGCTTACTTTCTTTCGGAAATAGAGGTTGCCCTACATGTATCAGGAGCTTTTGTTATGTCTGTTATTTTAACAATCCTTGGCTTTGTGTTGTGGATACACATAGGATAGAAGACAACCGTTTAATATTGAACCCGAGACTTTTAATTTATTAAACAGCCCTTGTATTTCAATTAGATGATTTTATATGCACCTTTCTATTATTACCCATGTACCATATGTGTTTAAAAAAACATCTCAAGAAGCGGTATTTTTTCCAATTCAAATTACAAGCATGCAACATAAAATCAAACAAAGTAGCTATAATAACACATTAGTTAACTGGGAACCTATTTTATTTCCATGTTTATTTTTCTGATGAATCAATTTTATTTGCTTATTGGTTGTCCATGTTGTTTTGTTTTAAAAACTATTTACTTTAGACAATTTACATGTTTTGACAAAAAAGGTTCCTGTTCTATGTTCTTAACGTGCATCAGGTAAAATAAGAATGTTGCAGTACAAAATTATATAAATATTAACGATTGTTTCATGACGTTTACAATATTGAAAATATGGATAATGTTTTAATTTTTTTATATAAATTTAATTTGTATATTATGTGCTGTTAATTATGCAGATTTTGCTATTTTGGCTACAAATCGCGTTTACAAAAAGAAATATCTGAAAAGAAAGATCGTATTTCTTTCGCGAAGCCTGAGAAAACGGGAAAATTTTGGGATTGATATTTGATAACAGTAGTAGCATTTGGCCGTAAATTTAGTTTCACATAATATTTTGCTGTACTGAAAACTAAAAATAAGCTGCAACTGTTTCAGACAATGCTGACTTTACTTTGGCAAATTTGGCTGATAAAATAATAACTATTCTGGTTGTTTGAAATTAACCAAGTTATCAATTAAGGTTCTGATATTGCTGAACTCGAGCTTCCTGACTAATGGAGACAAGGGTCTAGAGCACTGAAATAAAAAGCTTAGATTTTAAGATATATGTATACCGACTTTGTACTGGCAAAAATCCAATCGAAAAATATTTTTAAATATATAAAAAAAAACACTTTTATTGATGTGTTATGGTCAAATAAATATCCCATCTTCAGTGTTATATTAAATCTAATATTGAAGAACCAATAAAATCCAGAATATACGTTTTGTTTATTCCTTTTTGTTGTTATATGTGCCACGCTTTTAAATACGATACTTTGCATTATATTCTATTAGATATACAGATAAAATGTATGTGCATTAAATGTGATACTCACATGTTTTAGAAGAATTTGTAGCAATATGAAAAACACTGAAATCCAAAACGTCAATACAGATAAGACATATAAGAGAGTTTGCCATCTGTTTAACATCGAAACAGTATATTTTTTAGGGGGTCTTCCAATCCTTATTTCTTTTTATTTTCCACTCGTAAAAATTTTTCGCGAAAATTGGCCAATAAAAACCAATGCCTAGTGATGATCATATTTTCCATCCGATCCGTAGCAAATACAAAACGTTTCCATACATATACCTACCAAAATGTGTTTAAAATTGCAAAGTGATAAAAGTGATAATGTTAATATAAACGGACGACTACCACGACGGCCGCCAAATGATAGCAAAATATCTCACTTGGATATTATATTCAGGTGAGCTTAAAGGTCAAGAGTACACTTGTACTCTTGCCAAAAGATACATCGTACAATTTAAACACAATTGATTATTAAGTATACGCATGATAAGTGTATCTTATCAAATATATTTGTCGTTATTACTTGGTTTAGATTTTTTTAAAATCTTCGTCTTTTAATCCAGTTTATGAAGGTCAGTAAATGCAGCTAATTGATTGCTCCCTTAATGACCAATGACAAAAAGTCATATTCAATGGATGTTACATTAAAGGACATGCATATTACTATTGCTGTTTCAGCAGTTTCGGTTCTTATACATCCTTGGCTTTTAAATATTCTGCTTTAAGCGTTCTTGGTAAAGGAAAATCCAGAAAAGCGCTCGGAACGCATGAAATTTATTAATTGTTGTTATTAACGATAGTTTAAAACATTGGTATTGCAAACTGGGTCGACAAAGATCGAACGTTAAACAATTTTGAATGCCACTTGAATCTAGTGGTACTCTCTAAAGAGGATTGAACGATTTCCTTACAAGAAAAGAGTTGAACCAACCGTCAATACGTAATATAAGCTTATAAAGTCCTTCTACAGTTGACGATTGCCAAAAAGAAATATAAAGGCAAACACGGCCATCTATCAGTAAATAATATAATAATGTACTTAATTTTCTTTATAATTCCTAATGCAGAAATTTCAAGGTTTGATACAGGTTTGACTTTTCATTTGTCAGATTATTAAAAGAATGATCAATACAACGCACTTTTCTTACTGAATATGTCTTTAAAATTATAATATTGATATTTTACTTTGGTATTTTTTTCGATTCTATTATCAATTCCAATATTCTGAGGTTTTCGCGTCCAAACAGTAATGCCCGATTAACGTTTTGTTGATAGAACCTCAAATGAAGACCTACTCTGTGGTGTCGTCTTGCTATTTCAACATTTTGAATTTACACTATCTGACTATTTCAACATGTAAAGAACAAAAGATTTTGTTGTTACAAAATATATTGCTTTATTCATCAGTGTATGGTTAAAACGGAAATTTATCTGTTTAAATTCAGAAATAACCAAAATTTTAGACCAGACAAGACAATACTAGTAAGATATTTAAGTCTCAACTTCTAATTTCATAAAACATACAATAGTGTATACAAAATAGACAAAAAAAACAAGAAACAATAATCAGTCAAACAGAGTTACGATAGACTATTTAAAAAATGTATATACAAATCTACAAAAATATGATTACGCAATATAGAGACACGTTTTTTTTTTTCATTGCAAATTTTAGCATAAACGTAACAATTGTCTTTTTTAAATAAAATCTCACCATCATACAAATACATAATATATCATTATAACAGGGGCCTGTTTATCGAAACGCTCTAAGGACTAGGACATGTCCTAAGATCATCTTAGGACATATTTTAGTTCTCAGTGGGTTTGTCAAACATGTCATAATTTAGGAAATGTCATAAATTGTTATCAAAGGTACCAGGCTTAAAAATCGTCCTAAATTAGGACACCTATTCAGATGTCTTAAGATGGGGTTAGGATGTTCCTAACTTTAGGATATATTACTTGATGGTTAATTTGTAATTAAATACGACCGCCGCCTATACATGTTAATTAAGGGAGCAGTACAAATATTTTTTTTAGAAAGAGACCACATAGGGAATTTAATAATCCATTGAACTATTTCGGAGACATTAATATTATACGCAAGTGTAGATTATCACGTCTGTAACACAGGTGCCTGGAAAATGAACACCCTCTTTCTATTTTTTTTTTTTTTTTTATTTGTATTTCAATTTTTATTTAGTAAATATTTAAAGTTTAACATAATTTACTTATCTGATGTGATCTTTCTCTTATCCAAAAGTTATTACAATAACAGATATATACAAATGAAAGAATGTAAAAGAACGGATATGGGATATTTTGCACATGGAAAATAAGAATAGATTGGCGTCATATATAAATCAATCACATTAAATAAATGAAATAAAGGTTGATATATTAAAAATTAGCATTTGAAGAAATCTGTGAGAGTGCAAATAATTAAATAGAATGTTAATCTAGATTATAAAAAAATACGTCAGGAGTTTAATTATTTTATATTTTTTGACAACTGTTTTTTTTTTTATCAAAATCATCAGAATGATTATGATATAAATACAAAAATTTGTTTGAATTTAATCAGCAGGCACAGACATAAATCAATACGATCTGGGGAATTTACTTTGTTATTGTAAAAAATAAAACATTTTGCAA